TATTTATTATTTCACTTACTCAAAATAAACTCAGCAAAACTATCAGAGAAATATAGTCCTCACATCAAAATCATCTATGTTTGTATTGGGTCGCATTCTGCAATCAACAGGACGATCTCTCGATACAACAGCCGGCCAAATAAAGAGAATTGGCATCTATGACTGCAAGAACTATGAAATCGTGAATATGACTTGTTTGAAGGTATTTAGTTTCATGACTGTCTCGTTGGCCGAGTGGTCGCAAGTGCGCCGGCCGGGCAAGGGGTCTCGGGTTCGATTCCCGGGTCGGGCAAAGTACTACTGGGTTTTTAAAAAAACCTGGCACGGAGACTGGAATTGTGCCGAGTACCTATATGGCAATAGGCTCACCCCCTATTCCATGGAACTCATAAACTCATAACATAAATAGTGAAAAGTGGGTGTTACATTGTACCGTGGCCTTATGTGCCCCAATATGCACCTCTGCCTAGGCCTCTTATCACAAGGAGAAGGTTTGAGAATTAATCACCACGCTTGCTCAATACGGGTTGGCGATTTACAACTTATAATTAGGAATTCTAAGCCCAGATTTCCTCACGATATTTTCTTTCACCGTTTGTCAATGGTGTCTAAACATTCTTAGAAAGTATCTACATATAAAATTAAGAAGAAAATTAACGAGATTACAAACAATTTTCTACCCTATGCCTAAATATATTCACATCCTAATATTGGCTTACGCGATCCGCCCACATATACAAAGCTATATACTTTCGTGTAGGCGTAAAATTCCTTCCGAAATGCTTTCACAGGCCAGTATTTACGTAAATATCGTTTAGTATGTTTATGAAACAGAGTTATAATGTAATTTATTTTATAAACATTCACTTTGATACCGATATTTTGTATTAAGGATGTGATTTTGGTCATGTTGAAAGAATAACATAACATCACGCCTTTTATTCGTGAAGGGGTTATTTTTAAAGGGGCGAAAATCATCGAATGACTTCTCCCGCCTGGGTGCGGCGGGAGGGAGTGTCAGACTCTTACTGACTAAAAACCACCTCGTTCCTTCTCCTGCACGTCGAGCCGGAGTCCCGGTAACCCGTTAGGTTCTCCGTGACTCCGAATTCGCAAAGGGTTAGGCAGAGGTACACATTACGGTTCTTAATGCCACTGTACAATGTAACACTCACTTTTCACAATTTATGTTATGAGTCCCATGTAATTGGGGGTGAGCCTATTGCCATGTACTGGGCACAATTCTATATTCCGTGCTACTACTGAGATTTTTTATTAAAACCTAGTAATACTTTGCCCGATCAAGAAATCGAACCCCAGACCCCTTGCCCTATTCCACATGCGAGTAATAGTATGATAGATTCTTTTACACTGTACCTAACGAAAATATTTTCGAAAAAATGCCATATCCAAAAACAACACCACAAAAATATACTAAAAATATTAGCAGAGAGAAAAAGGGACCAACTTAAAATCACTTCATAAAATGCCGCATCTACTTTTGACGAACATCTCAGCCTCCCCTGGGGCTACATCCATCCGTCGACTTCGTACAAAGCCGCCAGGCGGTTGACTCAAAGGAATTACCCTTACTATTCTACTATAAACTCTATACATACTGTTTTGTGGTGTAAAATTGTTTGTCAGGTTTATATTTTTAGTACAGTTTGTAATTATAAAGTATTTTTGAAGGAAGAAAAGTGAAGGAAAATAATAAAAAAAAATGTATTTTTTACTTGTAGTATCTGTAAACTGACTGCCTTGTTGGCCGAGTTGTCGTAAGTGCGACTGCCGGGCAAGAGGTCTCGGGTTCGATTCCCGGGTCGGGCAAAGTATTACTGGGTTTTAAAAAAAATCTCAGTAGTAGCACAGAGTCTGGAATTGTGCCCGGTATATGGCAATAGGCTCACCCCCTATTACATGGGACTCATAACATAAATAGTGAAAAGTGGGTGTTTCATTGTACAGTAGCATAATGTGCACCTGTGCTTACTCCTTCGGGGATAAAAGGCGTGATGTTATGTGTGTATGTGTGTGTGTATCTATAAACTTTCTACTCATACCTTCTGCTGATGCGGTTGAATCAGTACAAAAGGTAGAGAAGCTGAAGAAGTTCAAATATAAGTATCGTATTCCAAAAGTCAGCAATGTTTTCATACTCATTTCTCGTAGAGTTAAACCCATTAAAAGGTATACAAAACGAGATTAGACGTCACGTTGTGAACGGGACTGTCTCTTTTTACAATTAAGAGTCCCATTGTCCCCGAAATGAACACTCGAGACGCGAAATTGTCCCGTTTTAAGAAACCACGCGAAAATTTGAACAGTCAGGCCTATGTGACGACCGTTCTGAGGCTCCAGTGGTGCGCGAGAGTGTTATAGCGTCATACATAATTCGATAATTTTTAATGATTATGTTTTCGGCTCATGTAACTGGCGCCACCACAGATGAAGGAAACTGCGCGTAAATCACGGCAGAGGGCGCGTTGGGCCTGCACCGCAGATTGATTGATTGATTCAAGCATGTCATGCAAGCAAGTCGCGGATTGCTGCTCATGAATATGAGCCTCTAGCATGGCTTGAAACTAGCCGAGTTCCTCGTCAAACAATTACGTGAGTAAGCCGAAAACATAATAAATAATTAGTATGTTTCGCTAATTTTTGACGAAGTACAGTTGAAAATCCTTTAAGTATCTACATTAAACTGTCAATTACCAAGCGGTCACCGGTGACCGCAACCTATTGTTCTATAATTGTGTCTACAAAACCGGTACTCGACGAGTTAATGTGCAGTTAGTACCTAATGTTAACGTTTTTGTTGTAGGCACACAACAACGTTAACATTACTTTATTAGAAAGTACATATAACTCGGAAAAAGTCACATTGGTACTTGCGGATGGGCATGAGAGGTGGGCGTGTTAAACCTTTGGGGCCACCAACACAGCTTAGAAATACCTACATCAAAACACCAAAATAACAAACTGTTAACACCAAAGCAACAACTTTACTTCCACGTGCCACACTCAAACAAGGAAGCAGACGAGTAATTATAATTGCTTACTTAATCAACAAATCCCATACTTACAAATTGTAGGTCACCATCAAAATTATAATAATTAAAACTTTACAAACAATATGCTTCCTTATGGTTAGTTCGTTTTATAGCCTTATTACAAGAGAATAGACAAAATGTTGACTTTGACGACTGCCTTTCATGGTTGCCGAAATAGTCTAAAGTTGCACCCCTGTTTAGATTTAGTCGTAAACAAGTTACCTAATAAACTTTTTAAGGAGTTTGCTAATGTCTATTTCGAGTTACAAAGTAGTGATGTGAGCGTATGAAATCTCTGGAACCGTATCTGAACCGATACTACCAGAACCTATTATTTTTCTAATCGAGTTTACAAATTTTGGAATGGTGCATGAAATAATTGTATCATATTTATTATCAGAAAAGGTTACCTTACATGTTATATCTTTCTCACTCCAATATTATTAGTACATACATATATAACCTCACGTCTTTCTCCCACAGAGATAGGCAGACACTATGGAACTCCAATTGCTACGATTCTTGCATAGGTACCTCTTTCGCTTCATCAACAGTCATCAGTCTTTTCATGCATGCTCGTCGGTTAAAAGCAATGTGTTATAAAAGGAAACAACAAATAAAAATACAGGGCAAAAGAATCTAAACCACACAATAACTAACTTGAAACTCAATAACAACTAACTGAATAATATAAGTCTATCCCGAAGATTAAGATGTCGTGATTAGCAGAATTCTATTTCTTAAAAGGTACTACTAGCAGCAAACCTACGGTGCTACTGGTCTGATGGTAAGCAATCACAATAGCCTAGGTACACCTTAACACCAATGGCATCACAATTGCTTTACATACAAATGTGGGAGAGCCACGCTTCGGCACGAATGGGCCGGCTCGACCGGATTGATACCACGGCCTCACAGAAAACCGACGTGAAACAACGCTTGCCTTGAGTTTCGTCGTATGAGTGCAGTTACCGGAGGCCCAATTACCCTCCCCTTCCCCAATCTCCCCAATTTCTGAATCCCCAACGATCTTCAAACTCCTAATCCCCTAAGGCCGGTAACGCACTTGTAACGCCTCTGGTGTTCCAGGTGTCCATAGGCGATGCCGATTGCTTACCATCAGGTGATCCGTATGTTTGTTTACCGGCTTATGCCATAAATAAAAAAAAACCAACCACACACGAAATAAACGCTTTTTTAAGAACTTCATAACGACTGAACGATTAACGGAAATCCACAACAATACCAAACCCTACATGTTATTTAAGTCCCCTATCCGAATTCGTATCTAGATCCGAAACTCCAAATCCGTACAACTCTTTACAAAGTCCAAGTGAACCGTGACGGGTCGAAGTTTTGTCTAATTTGGGACATAAACCACTGATAGGATGGATTTCCTAGACTGGTTGAGGTTTTACTGTTGGTATTAGCAACGTAACTGGACTTTAAAAGAGACTTGTGACCTCTGAGTTGGTTTTGTATTGCTTTGTGACGTAAGTCTAACAGTAAATAATAAAAAGTTAGGCTAAGAATTTTAACGGGTAACGATTTTGGAGCCATTTTTTAGTAATTAAACATAACATATATACCACATAACATCACACCTTTTATCTCAGATAAGCACCTTTCATCTCGCAGAGGTGCATATTATGACATTTAATGTTACTGTAGGTACAACGTAATACTTACTTTTCATTATATAAGTTATAAGTCCCATGTAATAGGTGACTGGATGAGCCTATTGCCATATACCGGACACAATTCCAGACTCCGTGCTACTACTGCGATTTTTCATAAAAACCTAGTAGTACTTTTCCCGACCTGGGAATCAAACCCGAGACCCGAGGGCAGTCGCACTTGCGACCAATGACGCCAACGAGGCAGTCAACGAGTTAATAATAAAATTATGAAGGTACATAATCATGTTCTCTTTACATTATAACTTACCTTTCGGTCCAGAACTGACTTGGCACTGATACAACGCATCGTCATCCAGCGTTACTTCTCTGATGTCCAACGAGTAGTCACCTGCAAACGAATATAGAATCAAACACTTTGTAATTGAGTCCATTTTACTTTCTGTACATTGTTTCATGCTAGCTAATGCTTATGGTTGTACCGGTAACTATTTTTTGGCTGTTTCTATTTTCGTTTATTTCTGTATCAAACTCAATTTTAGTTTTATTTTAGGTTTAATGTTAATATTATGTATTTAAAAAGATCACCAAGTCCCAAGATCACCAAGATTAGTAATGTTGCTGACTTGGTATATCAGGACTGAGCTCTTGATGGCCATTCCTCTGTCTAAGTAATCTTTAAGGGCTCGTACACAAAACTGCGATGCGTCGTCGCATCGCAAATAAGTGCGAGCTCAGTCTACGCATCACAAGAACTTGCGAATTGATTCGCATCGCGCATCAAAATCTTATGTTTCCAAAATCTTCTTTGTTTTTTTTCCTGTATCTCCTAAGCAAAAACAGAAGTGCACACTTCTTACGATCTGTGTCACAACCTAGTTCTCAATTTAAAATACGTTTAGTACGGTTGACGGTCGTCGAAGGAATGGTCACCCTGGGAGACGCCTTGTCGTACGAAATCGCACCACAGCAATTTGCATCATAATTTTTTTAAATGAATGCTTCTATTAGTGTTAGAATTACTCTTTCAATCTTAGATTCAGGAGACAGACAAAAACTTCTAATATATTTTGCTGCTTATCTGAACGTGTAGACAATAAAGAACTACATTTACTGCGATCTTTTCACACTTTTTTAGCTTAACATCCGTATGACGATAAACTTCAATCAAAACAGGATAATAAATGAAAAATCCAAAATTCCCGATCTGGCATATTTCCAAACCAACTCAACGAAATTCAACCACTATTATGTAATTGTGAGGGTTACTGCCAATACTCTTACTTAATATTCGAGCCTCGATTTAAGCAAGATTTAACGTCACATCATATCATCAGCCTACAAGTGCCCACTGCTGAGTGAATACTTCTTTCTAGACGAAGAAGGTTGAGCACGAATCACCACGCTTGCTCAAGGCGGGTTGGCGGACTTATAGTTAGAAATTATAAGCCCTAGTTTCCTCACGATGTTTTCCTTCATCATATGTCACTGGTTTAATAAATAATCTTATAAACAACATAACATCACGCCTTGTATCCCCAAAGGTGTAGGCAGAGGTGCACATAGAAGTAACACCCACATTTCACTATTTATGATATGAGTCCCATGTAATAGGGAGTGAGCCTATTGCCATATACCGGGCACATTTCCAGACTCCGTGCTACTGCTTAGATTTTCTTATTAAAAACCCAGTAATACTTTGCCCGACCTGGGAATCGAACCCGAGATTGCCCGGCTGTCGCACTTGCGACCTCTCGGCCATTGAGGCAGTATATAAAAATAATCTTATAAAGTACATTATAATTCCGAAAAAGTCACATCGATATTCAGGTTTTAAACTCTCATGCATGCAAAACGGGTGTCTTTAACTCCCAGGCCACCACGACGATTTAAACAAGCTTAAACGTATTGATGCACTAAGCTAAAATATCTTCAGTACAGCGCTACACATCCTCCACTAGCAATGCAAAGTATTTCTACTACATGAGAATTCCCGTCTTCCATCAAAGTTTGTTCTTTGAGCTCGTTGCTAGTTCAAAGGATTTACGCCTAAATACTTCTTTATTATCGAGGCGTGATAGTGTGTTGGCGTTGTTTTGTAGGGATATTTTTATCTGAACTTCTATAGATAGACATGTGGTGAGATCATCCTACTAATATTCTAAATGCGAATGAACATTGCTTTAACCTGGGATTTTTTTTCTATATAAAACAAAAATACAAATTTACACAAAAACAATATACCTATAGCCAGTTCCAAAACAAGCATTTCACTCAAAGAGTTGTTCTATGCGGGAAGCGAACCTGAGACGTTGTACCGCAACTAGTGCCCACTTCTATCTAGTTAGAGTTAAGCTCAGGCCATTCAAATTCAATACAAATATCATCTTGATAATAATTAATAATATCCTGAAATGTTCTTAAAATAAGTATTCAAATAATTTCAATAATACCAACCTTCTTCATCACTTCCAATCATCTTGTATCGTTCATAGCCAGTGAGATGACGATGTGTGCCTAAACCGAAGTCATCCTTCGTCCACTGCAGCTGGCCAGCCTTGTTCTCCACTCGACAGGGTAACGTTACCCTCGATCCTACTACAGCACTCTGTAAGAAAAAAACCGTTTTAAGTGTGGGAGAGCCATGCATGTGGGAGTTTAGATGTGAGAGTGAGGTTGCCGGAGGCCCAATTCTCCCCTCCCCCCTTTCCTAATTTCCCTAATCTCTGAATCCCCAATTATCCTCAAATAAAAGCCGATAACGCACTTGAGTACATGGGCGACGCCGATTGCTTACCATCAGGTGATCTGTCTGCTCGTTAACCGGCTTATTTCATAAATAAATATAGAATTTTTGATGCTTTTTGTAAATTTTATTTTTAGTTTTCTTTTATTTTCTTTGTTAAAGTGGGTTTTAAGTTTTATAGTTTTAAATATATTTATTTCTTACATTTTACAGTATTAAAATAAATATTCATATGTATATGGAATTTAAAAAAATGTATGAACTTAATAAAAGTTTTGGCAAGAAGTTAAACAGAATTGTAACTGTTTCATGTCCTGGTTTGATACTTGCTTCAACTGCCCAGTTAAAGAGAATCGGTAACGTTTTGTGTCATACTCCGTCCTCCTAACTACCTTCAAACCTAAAAATCATAGCATAAAACCTACTAAACTGATTTTACATAGCTTTGGACATACGACATGTATAATTTTACTATTACAAGCAGAATAGCTTGTAGAAATCCGTTGGTATCATTAATTTTATAGGGCAATTGGCCATCGCTAGTAAAAAAACTTGCAAAGAGAACATCTAGAACCTACATATAAAAAATTCCCACCTTCAAATAAAATACTCTTTTTCCCGCAAAATATCACTTCCCACAATAATACTAATATTAAATTCACGCAAAAAAATGACGCACCCCATTTTACGTTACCAAATACATTCAATCCGATTTCAAAGACCACAACGAATTCCATTTTCCTACATATTCATACCAATTTCTTGACACCACACAAAGAAGAATTCGTTATTCCTTAAAATTACTTCACATTTCGTAACAGTAATTTAGGTATGTTCCGTAAATCAAATATTCCCCGGGGAATCCTTGGTACCACGTAGTTGGCCCAATATTATTCTTTTCGTAAGCAAGTACTCAGTTGACATAGGAAAGGCTTGTATCGAATATCTGGTGATATTAAAAATTCCTACCCTCCATCCCGCTGGGACGCGACGGATGTTTTCATAGATGACAAACCTTTTCGAATTAATTCTGTTCCTATTTTATGGACCAGTTAGTTTTGCTGCCCCTAATTTATAATATCTTCTATGTAAATGTTTACCTACACGTAATGTAATATCAATTCGTATTTTCTGTCCACGTTTTGTTATGATATTACTATAATAATGTTAATTAGATGCATAACATTTGTGAATACGCAACGCTGCATCCGAAATTGCAAATATTTAAATAAATTCAACATTCGCGACCAACAATACAATTGTTCCGATCTATTCACAACGTTTTAACTAAAATTGACAGGAACGCAGATTTATGCAACAATACCGATTAAAACGAAGCCATAGTAAAACGCAATGGCATTTCAAATGAAGCTACTATTGATAAATTTGTCGTTAATGATATAACTTAGTTCACGAATGCGTTTAATTCCCGTGACAATATTCATTTGTTGAACAGAAATGGTCAATAATGAGTACTGAATTAATTTGTATATTCGATACAGTACTCGGCTGATCCAAAAATAAATTGTTATTGAATCAACGATCGTTAAAACAATATTAAGTGTATGTTTTGGATGTTGGTCGAACGAATTGATGATTTTAATTGATGCCTGACAATATTGTGGAGATTTAAGCGTAAATATTTACATGAAGGTACGATAACAGTAGTGTAAATTAAAGATACAATTTATATTATACACGGGGATTTATCCAGAGTATTTTATGTTAATCGTGTTTTTGTATACAACTGAATCATTGAAATATTAACGGTACGAGGAATTACGAAGAAACAGAACTGAAATTAGATATTTTGTTTCGTCAACAATATTAAAATTTGCTCCATTGGAATCCTTAAGTCCGTTTTAATCAAAATAGATTACTTTTGCCTCAGAAGACTAAAAATAATTGCGCTAATTGTATTTTGTGTCAACAATTTTCTTGTAATGGACTTTATAATTATGAAAATTAGGTCAGGTAAGTATTTAATATACCTACTCACTTTATTGATCATCTGCCCATTATTTACTAGCTTTGGAAGGTTGAAGGTAGTTTGTTTTTTTTTTATAGAATAGGAGGCAAACGAGCAGACGGACCACTTGATGGTGATCAGCGCCGCTCATGGATAGTCACAATACCAGAGGAGTCACAGGAGTCACAGGTTGCCGGCCTTGTATAAAGAAATACGCTCTTATCTATTCTATATGTATCTATCAAAATATATATTAAAATACTCGTAGATAAAGTTCTGTCTTGGTAAAATTAGTTTTACCAGGACAGAACTTTATCTAAGCTTAATACTTGTCAAAGTAATTTAAACACTACTTACCTGATCTTGTGGTTCAATCGCAAACCTCTGCTCTCTATACGCACTCACTGAACTAAGCAACACCAAAAACGACATACATTGCCACACTAGCACGTTCAATTGTTTCGTTATCCTTAACAAAAGGAACAATGTATTGGCACTTCTACTCGTCACTCGCGACCTGTGTTTCACATAAGAGGCCGCACTAAAATCACTAAAAGCTTCATTGGGGACATCCATAACTTCGTTTTTATAATATTTTACGTCATATTTATTTTTATCATCTGTTATTTTGACATCATTATTGACACTTAGAATTTGTCCTTTATCTGCAATTTTTGATTTATTAAAATCATTATCATTGGTTCCCATCTTGCAGTCACATGTTAATTTACTTTTTAATGGTGAGTTTACGTCGCATTTCTGAAAATCGTTTCATTATTCTGGATCTGTAACAAAGGAAATGTTTAAATTAGTATTTTTATTTAATGAAACTTAATTCACGATATGGTCTTTTCTCTTAGGTACTGAATTAGTTTCTAAATTTCCAATATTAGACAAGATTTTATTAAGATTTATTGTGACAAGAAGATTGCTACCGATTATTCACACTCGTAATGTGTCTACAGAGTCTTCATCATCAACAGCCTATAAATGCTCACTGCAACAGCCTCTTCTTACACGGAGAAGGTTTGAACATTAATCGCCACGCTTGCTCGTTGCGGGTTGGCGATTTTAAACTTATCATTACAAATTATAAGTCCAGATTTCCTTACTATGTTTTCCTTCACCGTTTGTAAGTGGTATATAAATGATCTTAGAAAGTACATATAACTTAGAAACAGTTACATTGGCGCTTGCTGTTGGTAGGTTTTGAACTCGCACCCTCATGTATGAGAAGCGGGCGTAATCTCCGGCCCACAACGACACTTTACCTACCCATTCTTAGTATATTTAATCCGCTAGTTGGCTTTTATGACACCCTTGGGAAGACTGGGGTTGATATTAAAGTATTCTTCTCTATCGTCCATATATACTAAGTAATTATTTCTGAATATCACAATAACAGGTATTAATTTTGCTATATTATTTGCGTCCAATAAAAGCCACCAATCGTATACAACCCATTTGTATAAAACCCCTAAACCCAAGCACTTTATAGAACCTAGAGCACTCTCAGCATTTAAATTAACTCAGTACCATTTAATGAAATTCGGTCGCATTTCGGCCACCATCAAAAGAGATGCAATCAAACTGGATCCAAACATTTCCATTTTTAAAAACCAAACTTTATGGTTACCAACAATTTTATACGACAAAAATAAATGAAAATATGTTGGTATTAACAACCTCGACATCGTTTAAATGAAATAATAATTTTATACTGAACATCATAGATAGGTATCACGAATTTTATTCAGCAAAGAGTGTAATGTCAAATAAAGTTCACCTTTTTGCCAGCTAAAATATTTTAATGAAATAAATATCCTGGGTGATTAAATCAAAATCAAAATATCAATTGCATACAAATTTACCAGAATGTTCAGTTTTAAAATCAACAATACATAAAAATCATTGCTAACGCAATATTCTTTATATTTTATACCCTGCAGAGAGTTAGGGGGTGATGCGGAGATGCATAAACAAACCGATTGCTATAATTTAACTTATCAATGTTAGGTAGGCTTTATGATAAGTTTTTCTATGATCGGTCATAGAAAAACTCAGGAAGACTCTGAAGTATTATTTTCGGTATCCGAATACTTCAAAGTCTACCTTATATAATTACAGAAAATCTTAAAGATGGGAAAATCATAAGTCTCCAAAACATCTCCTTGTCTACCCGTAGCACATGAAAATCCATAGTCAGCTACTAACTCATAATCATGCAGTCACATAATAAAAAATTATAACCGCAAAAGAAGGCAAACTTCCACGTAATTTAAAGTAAAACTTTAGCCCATAAATACAAATAAATAGAAGTTTGTACAAAATTCTATTCAACATACGACATAAACATATCTTAACTATACAGTATTATAGAAGTGGATGTTATGAATAAATCATTCTTGAGCATTGCAAAAGACGGCAATTTCTAGTGCACCGGTTTATAGTCCTCGGAAGGGGGAATAGATATGTCCAACGGTTTTACTATTTAAAACTCGATTGGAAGTCGAATCATAGCAATTGTAGGAGGTAAGTAAACTACTAGAGTCGTTCCGGGTAAAATTGGACGTAAACTGTATCTATAATTGTGAAACAAGTGAATTTATATCTGCAAATAGGCTGCAAGGCAACACTGCACGTCAATTTTATTACGCGAACGATGAGGCCGACATTTCCTAACTGACTACTCTGAGAAGAAATGCCGAAACAAACTCAGAGGTCCGTCTCTTATAAAGTCCAGACAAATATGTATAAAAGATTGTGTGAAAACCGTACAAGTTCGTTCTGTAGTGGCCTTTTGACGAAAGAACCACAACGGTTTGAGCGGACCCGTTCTGACAGCAGTACGTCTGTGTCGGTTTACATAAGGTCACACTTAAAAAAAAAAAAATTTAGATTTTAGACTGATCTGTTTTCTACGGGTATGTAATGTATTATTATCCGATACTACACTGCATCGTTTTGGTTCTTATTAGGTACCCAGAACGAGTGTACTGTAAATCATTTGCCTGAATACTAAGATCGAGGTGGTAATTTGATTTCCGGATCAAATGAAGCATTGTGAGCTTATTTATTCTTGAAATTATCAAAAATTACTCTTGTGTTGTGTGAAAAATCATGCCTAGTAAGTCTAACCAATATCAAATTTTGTTTTTGTTTTTTCTACTTAGAATTATGAACATGGGCCCACGGGTTGGAGTTTAGAGTATTATATTATATAATATTTTTTTTAAACTTTTCTTTCAACCACTTTTCAATCTTTTGTATTTCAATTTTAAGCTACTTCTTTATGATAGTTTTCGCACAAAACTCGAACAAAAGCATCTAGTAGGAGTCCCTGTAAGACTAACGCTTGTTTGACAGAATCGCATTTCCTATCTCTTTTCATCTTAAACCAATTTAAACTGTAAGAAAGAGATAAAGCGTATAATATAACACAGCTCTTTTGTAGAACTTTCTTCAAAGGAATCTCAAAATAGGTCTTATTTTTAACTATTGAGGGCTTCCCATTACGAAGTAATATTACTTTGTTTGAAGATGAACTTTTGCATGCAGTTTACATCATTTTTAAATTAAAAACACCCACCTACTGTTTATATTTATTTATCACGAACTTTGACGTTGTATACGTAATTTGCCTTTACTCTCATTTCATTATATTAGAAACGCAATCACAAATAGTAACAAAACCAAAAAAATCAAGTAAGTGGATATACAATACAATTTTTCATTGCGATCGTGGAATAAGCGACAGAATAAGATTTTACGTTATAATTGTAAGAAAGTGAGATAGAAAAAAATACATTATAATTTCAACATGAAAGAGAAACTGTATAAAAAGCTTATGGACCTAATATGCTACCCTGTGGAACACTGAATAAAAATACATTCTCAAACACTCATTAAACACAGTCATATAGTACCATGCAAGAAGACGTTAAGAAACTATCCGGTGCTATTACGCTAAATATAGTATGTGTATTGGACTTTGAACCATAAAAGTATACTACTAAGGTTATTGTTGAGATAAAATCTGATATGGACAATGAAGCTGTAGATGGTGCTAAAGATAGGAATGGAAGCTCGGTTAATAAGGAGTACCGGACGAACGATTCAGCAAATGTTGAAACTGCTGGATTTAAGTGAGGCATGAAAAGTTAAATAAGAACATTATAACTAGAGTTTTATAGGAAACTAGGCTTTTTTCTGACTTCATTTGAGTGGATAATTAGGTTAAAAGTATTTTTATAATTAATAAAACAACCAGTTATTTCTGTACTTAGTATATTTAAATTCACCGTGCATATTGTAATAGTTTAGCTACATGAGAATTTAAAAATATACTCTAGTAATTTCCAATTGGATAAATAATCCGCAATGACTATAATATTAAAATCATTTTATCAACATTTTAAATCCAAAAACCATACGGGTAGATAATAATAATTTGACAACTAATTTAACAAAAGCGAATTACGAAGTCAGACGACCAAAAGCGACAAACGTTTTACTAGGAGCGCATCTCAGAAACTACAGACAAGATCCATTCAAAAAGATAATTCGAGTAAAATACAAAGACGACAGGACCCACAGTCTTAAGTTTTGCATAGTGTGAGATACGGGAACTAAGTTGGATCTCAATGTTCTTAATTTATCCTTAGATGTTCAATATTAAGTTAGTGAAAGTTAAGGTTTTGTTTGAGTTACATTGAAAATTTTGGGAGCAGCTATAATATGTAGGAAGTTTGCGAAGATTACTCCTCTCCCTTGAAAATCTTAATTCAATACTTATCTTGATTCTAATTTTGGTAATTTTAGAATCGTGCTTTATTAAGTTTGTTCGAAGTAATGAAATTTTGTTTTAATATTTCATTCTTGTAATTCTCTAAGGAGATAATGTGGGTAGAGGCGTACTACAGTAATAGAAGGTAGTTGAAGGTTCGAGTAATAACTCGTAACTCGTCATCATTTATGAATTCTAACACGAATTCTAAAACTGCTTGTCAATAAGAAAAACCACATTGATCGTTATACCACTACCACTCATAATCTTTTTTCAGCTTACCACCTACCACGTACATTTATGCACTACCCAAAGGATGACTGGCAGAACATGCTGTTAGCATTAACTCCTCCTTAATCAAACTGAAATAAATATAAGCTTCTGAACCTATTGCCATGGATCGAGCACTATTTCTTTATCCATGCTTGTTTATATTGTCTAAAATAAACCTCATAATTTCTTTGATAAAATAACTGTAAATCACCTCAATCTATCAAACAGTATGTCAGTACTCTGCATCATAATCTCTTCAACCTATCCAACCATAGTCCGGAGATTCTTTGAATAGTTTTAGCTAATTTAAGCTCTGATGTCGGAAGAGCTCAATTTAATTATACAGGGTACTACCATTTGCATGGGGTATATTCATGACTAAAGTATTATGAATATTCATATTGTAGTTGGTAGGTGAAATAAGTTTTTGCATAAGGATACGGTTGCTTGTTTGTGTGTTATCCTGAGCTGTATTAATTTATTACTGTATCCTAGTTTATTACATGAATAGGAAAACGGGTAGCGTTATGTTTATCACTTGGGTCATTGAATTTGTTTAGTGAATTGTGGTCTGGGAAATTTTAATGCTTTGTTTACCGTGGTTCTAGATAGTGCTGCTGTTGTAATTAAGATTTAGGTTTTGATATTTGGAATGAGTAATGGGGTCAATGGTGTAATGAATTTTAGGTTACTTTAAAACGCCTGCCTCATTAGCCGAGTGGTCGC